CTGAACACGGCAAACACGCAGAGTTAGGAGAAAGCCACTGTGAGTTCTTCTAACGTAGGGTTAAGCACACCAACACAGGAAGATATGCAAAGGATGAGGGAGGAGAAATGCTATTTGAATATGTTGGTGCTAAGATTCAGAATGAATTTGTTGTCAGGGTCAAGGTCACAGTAAAAGAGAGATGGGAGGCCAACACAGGTACTCTAACATGTAGTATCTACTCCAGATGAGAGAGGTTTAAATTAATAAAGTAGAAAACCGAAGAAAAATGAACAGCCAAACCTCCAAAGCACACCACTTCATAGTAAGAAGAAACTTCACTGCAGGTTATCTGTCAAAAAAGAAGGAACAAACAGGACACACACTGCCCAACAAGTTCTCAAGTATTTTGAGATTAACCTTGCTTATATAGGAATTAAGAAAAAAAAAAAAAAAAACCAACACAACACCACGACAATAAAAGGAAGGCCCTTCTCGTTTCACTCTAATCAAACAAGAGGAACTGTCTAAGAATGTGAAAGTAGAAACAACTTGGCTAACAGAAGGCATAAGACAGCAACTCTTGCAATTTTTCAGAAGGGCAGAACAGAAAGCCATAAGATAAAGAAAATGAACTAATGTTAAAACCACAAGCTATCAGAAACCCAGGAGAAAAATGTGAAGCTTACTGACAAATCACCTCAGCTAAGTATAGGCTCTTTAATGATTTGAAAGTCAAGAGATATTGCACAAGTGCAAATCAAATCACTGGAGGTCACTTAATAAAGTTATCAGAGCAGTTAACAAAAGAGGAATGGTCAAATCATTAGGAAAGAAACTACTGGGAGGCAACACTGAAGGTAAACATGAAAATATTCCTTCAGAACATCTGCAGTAAAAGAAAGAGCAGTTAAAAGTAGAGGCGCATTAACCCACTACTGAATGGGAAGGAAAATCTCTAACAGATGATGCCAAAGCACTTGGGGCATTTTCTGCATCGATCTTCATTCACTAAGACAGATTAACTGGCTAATGTAACTCATATCACAGCAAAATGAGGAAGAGCACAAGCTAGAAGCGGGAAATGCATTAGAGCAATTGCTCCAAAGGTCCTGAGCCAACAAAGTCAAGACTCTGAATTTCCCATGCACATTTATCGGCAAACTTCAAACAGAAAGCATGATAAAGGCAATATGCTTCTGCAGACAACTTAATAAGCTTCCATAAACCTATGGACTTGTAGTCCATAAACCTATGGACTATATTCAGGGGTTACAGCATTAAAAGAGTACTTCAAGGTTTTCAAATCTGCTGGACATGCTATTTACCCTTTGAAAACTGACAAAGGCAGTTACCAAATATCATCTCTGCTCTCTGCATTAAGTTTCAGCAGCCTGAATAAGGGCAAAAGCACCTGCCTCTAAAGAGCAGGAAACTAAATACATGGGGAAATATGGACCAGTCGGGGTTACCATCAGTCCCTGAGAAGATGATGAAATAAATAATCAGACAGACAACGTATCTCCTGCATATTTCAGATAACAAAGCAGATAAGATCAAACACACAATTTGTTGTGAACAAATCATATCGAATGAATATCATTTCCTCCAATGACACAGTAACAACGTAGGTAGCAAAACAGCAACTAAAGGCAATATAGCTTTGGTTTAACTGGACTTTTGACACTCTTAAACTGACACTCATATAATCTAAACAAATACGGTGAATACTGAAGTACTGAGAGATGATTAGAAACCCATACCCAGAGATAAGTTATCATTATTTCAGTCAGAAAGAAAATAGGTAGCAAGCCCATTCACATGGCTAATCTTTTAGCTTTCTCCACTGTTACAAAAAGTAACTTGGTGGGGCAGGAGGCAAGGAAAAGCTATTTAGCAAGGAACTTACTGCTGGCAACTCCATATTTTGCTCTGCCCCAGTTTGATTTCTTATGGTCACAAGCAGCAACTTTGAGGATCTCCCAGACAATATCTTGTCCACAAACTACACACTGGAAAATATCAGGACAGAAAGGTCATTTTCTTAAGTTAACAGAGGATAATCGGGGACAGTTATAAGTACTTGGATGGAGTGACTCAGAATCCAAAGTCACTTGAAGCAAGTGCAAAAGTCACTTGAAGCAGGATGTAGTTTGACAGAGCAAAAAGGTAAGAAAAACGTGGAACGCAAGGTTAAATACTGTTCTGCCCAGAGATATATTGAATGGTAAAGGGCTAAAGAATCTGGGGTTTATTCTGAACATAAATTACACATATCACTGCAAAAAAAATAAAAAATACATAAAGGCTTATCATCTTACTGAGATGTACGAAATGCAGGTATCATATGAAATAGTTTTGACTGTCTGTTGTACTAAGGACTCAGATGGAGCACCGTGTCCAGTTCCAGTGTTCCAGAAAAATGAAAACGAAGTGGAAAAAGCCTCAAGAAAAGCAGTGAGAATAGCCCACGGATGTATTAAAAATAAAAAATCACTGAAGAGAGGAGACTGAAGGAATGGCATTTTTTTAGTGTGGAAAACACTAAAGAGAAAGCCCCCAAAATATGTAACACATTCCTGCTGAAGAGGTGCAAGAAAGAGTTCACAAAGTATATAAAATGCATGTTAGAATTCTGAAATGCTTAAATTATAGCAAATAAATTTAATTAGAAATTAGGAGAAATATTTTCAGTGGTAGGAACAGCAAACTATCAGAATAGATTGCCTAAGAAGGGTAAATTTCCATCAGAAACTTATGTTAGCTCATTTGCTTTGAGAACTAGTTAAACATTCCTCCCTTGTGCCTGAAACAGTAAATTTATGAAAGAACAAATGTCAATTACTTCCCCTTTTTCCCCTCATACTTCACTCACAGATGCCTCATCTGAGCTTTCAGCTTTTATATCAGTTATTACAAGAATTTATTAACCATTACTAAGAAATGACTTCCAGCATAAAGGCTTTGTAACATCATATGGAAATAATAATAAAAGCACAACCTTAAAGGAGTTATTGGAAGGATATTACAGAGGAAAAGTGACCCACTTGAACCACATCAAGATGGAGAGTCCTTAATTACAAAACCAAAGAAATCCAAAGACCCTACTTACACAGTGACTTCAGCTTTACCCTCATACACATAAGCTTTAAAGCGATGGTGCCCAGTTGCACAGACACTCTTTGCTGGCAAGGTAAAGGAGGGACTAAGAGATCTTGCTGGGTCCAGGTAAGGTCAGTCTGGGTGAGTCTGCACAGCCCTGTCCCAGCAAAGACCCTGCAGAGACACCCAGCTGGCTCAACCCAGGACCACAAGGATTTCAGACTACTGATCTGGTCGTGGATAAAACACTTGTCAAATGCAAAAGTGCAAACACCACGAGCTGGGGGAAGAGGCAGTCTCCTTGTGCAGCTGGGAAGAAACAAGGAAAGCAAGACAAGGACATCAACCCCAAATATAGCATCAGCAGCTGGACCCAGTAAAGCACAAAACATGACTAATTTTCTCAAGCAAAGATCAGCTACAACAACAAAAAAAAAAAACACTGGCAACCAAAGCAGGAGAGCAAACTGAAACATGCTGTCCTCTGCTGGAAGTGGCTCTGGAGGAACTTGAAAGCAGAAGATCATCAAGACCATTAGTCCTTTGACCTTCACTGGAATACTAGAAGCATCATTTGAAAGCGGCACAGCCTTGACCAAATGGAGCTGTTACCTTCTGAACTCCAGGTAAAGCTGCGTTATCTATGCAGCCAGCATCACTGTCACCAAAGGGGCACTCCTGATGCCACCCTCTCCTACACCACCACTACCAGGAGGTCATCGGCTGCTCTCGTGGCAACAGAAGCGTTCATGTGGCCACAGAGAACAGGATCAGGGAACTGGAGGAAAGCTAACCCTTTCTTCTAAGAAAATAACATAATTTGTTGCAAAGCAGTTCCTTCCTCCTTTTCACTTACAACACTGTATCAAGTTAAGTAAAGCTTTCAGAGTGCATCTTTTGAATGCAATTCAAATGTAACTTAAAACTAGAAACAGTTAAATATACACATCCCAGGGAAGATTAAAAGATGCAAAAAACAAATCAAACAAAACCACCAAACGAACAAACAAAAAAACACACAGAAAGGGCTGCAGCATGAGGCTTATGTCATTTGTATCTAGAAAGAAGTTAGAGCCTTTAAAACTTCCACACCAACTAAGGAAGTTCTCCAGATCTGAAAGTAAATGAGTCCAGACAGTGTATGACTTGTATCATCGAGAGCCAGTGGTAGGAATTATCTAAGTGTTCATCTTTGGAAAAAAAAAAAAAAGAAAAAAAGTAATGACTCCTGTTGCAAAAAAATACCAAATGAGTAAACAACACCATCAGCACAGGTTCACAAGAGGATTTTCCAACATTTAAACCATCATCAAACCTTCAGACAAATCATTCCTCATTCAGGAGAATTAACACGCCAAAAAACCTATGGCTTCTTTTTTTTTCTTAATTATCCAAGCACAGTATTAAATAGAAATAGTAAATGTTTAACTTGATGACAAATATGTTTTTCTCTCCGTGCCCCGTTTCACGCCCCGAAGCCTCACACCCCTTCGGGAAGGAGCCAGCACCCTCCACCACACCGAACACGCCACGTCCCGTGGGTCTCCCGCCCCATCCCCGAGCGTTTCACTAGAGAGAAGCAGCCGAAAGCAGGGCTCAGCCCCACGCCGCGACCTGCCCCCAGCCCGGCGCGGAGCCGCTGCCCGCGGCAAGCAAACGGGGGAGAGATGAGGGGGCCCGGAGCCGCCTCACCACCGCCCGCACGGGGCTGGCGGAGCTCCACCGGGCCAGGCTGGGCGGCCGGGGTCGCCCCCAACCCCTGGACCGACCCGAGGAACGACCGTTCCCCTCAGACCCCGCCGCCCAGCCCCCGGCCCCCCCCCCCCCCGCCCCCGGGCCGAGGCGCCTCTCCCCTCACCGCGTCTGTGTACCCTCCCTCCCCCCAGCCCCGCTCAAGACAGGGCGGCGGCCCCACTCACAGCGTGTGCCCGCAGACGTTGACCATCAATTTCAAGGAGGGGTTGCGGTACTTGGTGGTCTTGCACCGCGGGCAGCCCTGGTCATCCATGGCCGCCACCCCCTCCCCTCCCTCCCTCCCTGCGCGCCTTCCTCCTTCCGCCGCGCGGTGCCGCCGCCAAAGGGGCCCGCCGGCGCCGCCCGCCGCCCCGCGCGTTCCGCCCGCCGCGGGGGCCCGGCCCGCCTCGCCTCGCTCCGCACCCCTCCCGGCCCCGACCACCCTCAGGGCGGTTGGGCCGACCAGGTACGAGCCGCCCCGGACAGCAGCTGCCTGGCGTTAGGGTGCGGCAGGCCGCCCGGGGTCGAGAGCTCCTGTTGTAACGGGGAGAGGGGGGGTGCGGGGAACGATTCCCGCTGCGGGGCGGCAGCTCCCCTCACGGGGCTCCCCGCTGCCGGCCCGGCCGAAGTGCGGTACCTCGGCCCGCATAACTACCGCAGCGCCCCTCGCACCGCCTCACAGTTTTAATCTTTCCCTCCTCGTTTAGGGAAAGGCGCCTCAGCAGCGGCGCAGGTTGGGGAGGGGGGGAAGGGGGAGGGGGACACGTCCCTGCGGCGGGGCGCCGCGCTCCAGGTGGAGGAGGGAGGGGGGGGGGAGAGGAGAGGGGCCGCTTGATTGACGGTTGTCCTGGAGACGCGGGAGCCCCCGCCCCCCCGGCGCGGCGCAGCCAATGGGCGGGCGCGGCCGGGCCAGCAGGCTGCGGTGCCATATAGTATTGCAGCGGGGCTGGGAGTCACGTTGGGGGGAGCCGCGGAGAGGAGCCCGTTTACACTACTTTGCTATAGCAGCTATCTTTAATGGTTATTGCGTGGCCGGGAGGAAACCTGATCGGCTAGGAGCCGGCCGAGAGCAGGAGGAGGAGGAGGAGTGGACTTTCCAGAGAGATAGGAAGGGGGGAGAGGAGGAGAAGGGGACGGGGGGAAGGAAAAAAAAAAAAAAAAAAAAAAAAAAAAAAAAAAAAAAAAAAGGAAAACAAACCGAAACATGTCTTCTGCCTCCCCCACGGACAAGATCACGAGCGCGGTGGAGATCAAGCAGGAAAATGTGATGGAAATCCTCTCTGAAGCCAGCAAGGTGCCCCCCGACGGGGCCGCGGCGGGAGCCCTCAACCCCGCGCCGCCGCCCCCTCCCGCCGCCGCCCCGTTCCCCATGGAACACGCAGGCTCCGCCGCCGCCGCCGGGGAGGAGGGAGCCGCGGACCAGGTACTGCTCCACACGGAACTCCTGGCCAGGAACCACCACGCTGCCTCCTCTCCCTCTTCCTCCTCTTCTTCTTCTTCCTCCTCCTCCTCCTCCTCCTCACAGACCCCCTTGGCTTTCTCCCCGGACCACGTCGCCTGCGTGTGCGAGGCGCTGCAGCAAGGTGGGAACCTGGACCGCCTGGCCAGGTTCCTCTGGTCTTTGCCCCCGAGCGATCTGCTACGTGGCAACGAGAGCCTGATGAAAGCCCGGGCGCTGGTGGCTTTCCACCAGGGCATCTACGCCGAGCTCTACAGCATCCTGGAAAGCCACAACTTCGACTCCTCCAACCACCCGCTCCTGCAGGAGCTCTGGTACAAGGCTCGCTACACCGAGGCGGAGCGAGCCCGGGGCAGACCCCTGGGGGCGGTGGACAAGTACAGGCTGCGGAGGAAATACCCTCTGCCCAGGACGATCTGGGACGGCGAGGAGACGGTCTACTGCTTCAAGGAGAAATCCCGCAACGCGCTGAAGGAGTTTTACAAGCTGAACCGGTACCCCTCGCCGGCCGCGAAGCGCAACCTGGCCAAGATCACCGGGCTGTCCCTCACCCAGGTCAGCAACTGGTTCAAGAACCGCAGGCAGCGGGACCGCAACCCTTCCGAGACCCAGTCCAAAAGGTGAGGGCAAACTTTCCTCCCCGCCCCCTCTCCCGCCTGCCTGCCTGCCTTCCCTCTCCCGGCTCTTTCTTCCCTTGCAAACATGGCGCTTACCTTCGGTGCGCCTCGTCCTCCCCTCCTTCCCCCTCCCCGCTCCCTCGCTCCCAACACACCCACCCGGCCCGGGCATGCGAGGCAGCGCGGGGAAACTTCCCGGCCCCCCCGCCGCCCCCCTCCCACCGCCCCCAGCCGCCACCCCTTCCCCCCCGGGCCGGGGGAGCTCCGGGGAAGGGACCGGCGATCGGAGGGTGTGTTTGGTGTCGTGTCCCACCCCCCCCCCCTCCTTCTCCCCCTTGTTTTTATTTAATTGTCGCGCCTGACAGAGTTAATCATTGACGGCGGCCGGAGGACGCGCGGGGGTGTGGGGTCCCGCCGCTCGCTGTGTTTTGAAACCTGACTCGGGAGCGGGCCGGGCTCGGGTTTCAGCGGGGGAGCGGGGCCGGCCGCGCCGGGCCTGAGCGGCGGCACCGCCGGGCTCGGCCCGCCGCAGGCCTCCGCCTCCAGCCCCGCGGCCGTTTGCTCCCCGCGGGGCGGGAGAGCTTCCCCGCCCGGGCCGGGGCTCTGCCTCGGCTCTCCCCCGCCTCCCCCGCCGCCGTGTCTCCCTCCCCGGGGGCGGAGGGGGCCGCGGCGGGGGCTCGGCGCCGCAAGGCGGGCAGGTGGAGGTGACCTCCCCGCTCCCGCCCCCCTCCTTCCTCCCGGGGCAGGGACGGGAAGGGAGGGGAGAAAGAGCGGGGAGAGAGGGGGAGGAAGGGAGGGAAGGAGGGAAAGGGGCGGGGGGGGGGGGGGGGAAGCGGCGGCCGGCGGAGGGCCCCAAGGCATTTCTCAACCAAGGGCGCGATTGTGCCGCCGCGGCCCCCTCTCCGCGGGACACATCAAAGGGCGAAGGGGGGAGGGAGCGACCGAAAAATGCAGTCGAGGGCGGACCAGTCAGCAAAAAAAAAAAACCCGGCGCAGCTCCCGGCGGAGAGGGGCTCGGCGGGGCCGGGGCGGCGGCACAAAGGCCGCCCCCCTCCCCACCTCCCCCCCCCCCCCCCGCCGCTGGACACGGGCTGAGCTGCCTCCCCGGGCCGGGGGGCCGGGGCCGGGAGCGTCGGGCGGAGCGGCCCGGCCTGCGCTCACCTCCCGCAGCTGCCGCCCGGGGAGTTACCAAATGGCTGCGGCCGGTCCCACACATGTGGGCACCCCGGGCCGGCGGCGGGGGGTCCCGGGCAGCCCCCCCTTCGGTCACCCGGGTCGGATGGCCGGGGAGGGGGGCATGCTTTAACAAATCCATTACCCGATCTGTAAAGTTTCTCCTCGGCGAGCGTTTGGTTTGATGTGTGCTTTTCTTTTAAGAAACCTCCCCCTTGACTTGAAATTCAAGTGCCGTGTAAAGGCGTAACACAGAAAAAAAAATATTCAGGAAGACTCTCGCAAACTCTCTCAAAGCAAGGAGTTCCCCCTTGGTGCAGAGCTCGCTGGCACACCATGGTAATGCAATGTCATCTCTCTGTCTTTTCTCATAGCGAGTCAGACGGCAACCCTAGCACAGAAGATGAATCCAGTAAGGGGCAGGAGGATTTATCTCCCCATCCGCTCCCCAGCTCATCCGACAGTGTTACCAGCCTCAGCCTTCCCGGCCACACGGAACCCGTCTACATGCAACAGCTCGGAAACACTAAAATAGCTTTGAGTTCATCTGGCGTCTTGTTGAATGGAAACCTCGTGCCTGCCAGTACCTCTCCCGTCTTTCTCAATGGTAGCTCCTTTCTTCAGGGACCCAACGGCGTCATTCTCAATGGACTCAGTGTGGGGGCTTCGCAGACGGTTACCTTAAATTCACCCAAAACCACGTCGAGCGTTGTGAGCAACGGGGTGTCCATTACTGACATACTGTCGTCTTCGTCAGAAGATGTTAAGGACTTCAAACTCCTTCAGGCTTCAGTCCCCAGCGCCGCGGCAGCCACCTTCAGCCCCAGCAACATCCCAGTCTCATTTCCAGGATTGATACCAAGCTCAGAGGTGAAAAGGGAAAGCGTACAAACTGCTGCTTCCCAAGATGGAGGCTCTGTAGTTACTTTTACTGCTCCTGTCCAAATAAACCAGTATGGCATTGTCCAGATCCCCAATTCAGGAACAAATGGCCAGCTGCTGAACGGAAGCATTGGTTTTTCTTCTCTGCAGCTGCCTCCTGTTTCTGTGGCAGCTTCACAAGGTAAAAGTTTTGTCTCTTGCTGTAAAAGGTATGAGAAAAAGTTGGAATCAGGCACACTTAGCATTTTAGAAGCTGTGGTCCTTTTCCTCCAAGGTACCAGGATTGAATTTCTCTCATGGCCACACACAGTATGTCAAATAATACCTTTTACCTTCCTTTGCAGTGGGTTATGCTTGTGGGCAGACTGTTACATGAGGCTGAACTCCTCTACTAAGAGGAGAGAAGGCGGTCTGGTATTTTACATCCCTTTCATCTCATGCTTTTCTCAGAAGTCTGTGATACCAGCCTTCACAAATATCTGTAAATTTTACACGTTTCAGTACTTCAGAATATTCCCCATTTGCTCTTGAATTCTTTTAATGAGAAAGTTCGTAAAAATGAAAATTGCGGCAGCTGGAAATTGTTACAGTTGTTGTTCTTGTGGTGGTTGTTTTGTTTTTTTGTTGTTTTAACCAAAGCATTTCATAAAAATAAATTTTAAATGACTATAGACACAACAAGACCAAGCAATTATGCTCATACATTTTCAGTCCTATAATTAAAAAAGATTAAACTGCAGGGAAACAATAGAAATACGCAATAGCGTGTAGATATAAAATGCGAGGGTATTTGGATAAAACTGCCCTCAGTCCAAGGGAAATATGTCATCACAGGTTCACGTGCCAAGTGTGCAGGCTCCTCCCCAAGTTTGCTTTAGAGTTTTTCTTAACATACCATAGACTGAAACTTGCGGCTGGCCAGGAAGAATCCCAGAGAGCACAAGCCTAGTTTTGGCTTTGTTTTGAAGCAGGTCAGTTATAAAGCACATCTGAACAGCTTTGTTACTGATTAGCCACTCTATCTTCGGTTATGAAAATGATTAAACTTGGATGAATCTCTCTAGTTTCAGGAGCTGTGAGCACAGTAGTGAAAATCAAACTGTGCTCATGTGAGCTTATTTGAATTCGTGTATAGGGAGTGAATCGTTCTTTCCATAATACGGGGAAGAGCACTGTAGCTGCA